GAATCCAAAAGATGCATTTGAAAACTGAATGTTTGGGGAATCGAGCAAGTATCGATATATTACTGTGGTTTTTTTGGCAATAATCGTATTTTCCGTGCTACGTAACGAACATTACGTAACTTTTGTTTCATATAAAGTTGCGTAAAGGTGACGCCCTGCGAAAGATGGGCCCATGAAATGCAACAAAAGTTACGTAATTTTAAACGAAAATTACATAATAAAAACGTGAAAATTCGTCGTTTCTTAAAACCTATTCACTTTTTTCCCCATTTCTACAGCTCGTAGCAGGCAACTCTGCGCACTTGTTGCTTTGTGATTTTAAAGACCAATTATAAATATCCATTTGTAAAACTACTTTCGTATACTTTTAAATATATTTTTTTGAGGATTTAAAATGCGTCTTATAAATGAAAATAAAATAAAATGTAGTGCGTTTATAAATTATAAAAACGGTGCGTTGTGCATTTAGATTCTTGTATGGAATGATCAGTAACGATATGCAAATAGAATATTTCTTATCAATTGCGATGCAAATTGTTCGGTTCGATTGCTGTGACCAAATAAACACGTGTATTTGCCGGTGACGGGTCTCGTTTAGGCATGTCAACGCCGATACCACTTGTCCATAAGGGGAAATCTCAGTGTACGAGCGCAATACATACAGACATAAACACATATTCATATGCACACACACGCATACATGCACGTATATGTATACACGCACACATGAGACGACAACGGCCGTGTATTGTGCAAACAGTTTCAATTCGTTCGCGAGAATGCAGGAATAAATAAAGATTGAAGAACGTGACACATGTCAGCGGGTCAGCAATCCGGCTATGTAGATTGTGCGACGGTAAACAACCCGGAAGAAAAATAAAGAAATAGCATATTTTTGCGTATTCTTCTAAAAAGAATAGTGGGAAAAGTAAAATTCAGTACTCAACGACTCAATTTCCTCTTGTATTTCAGCATTTTCTTAACTGCAGTCGTTACTTTTGCTGTAAACATGTTTTTTTTTAAGTTTCTAGCAAAAATATAACAACAATGATAGTAAAATTTGAGTTAAGCCTCCGTTACTCGCACGGTATTTCATAACATCGTTACTCGCGTGGTGCTTGAGAAACTCTGTTAAATATAAGTTAGTAATTAATTTATATAATTATATAATTGATTAGATTGTGGGAAAAATAAAACAAACTACATTGTAAGTATGTTTGTTTTATAAAAATGTGAAAAAAAATATCTGATTCCATAATTTTCATAAAATCTAATTTGATTATATATTTTAATTAGTTTAAAAAATATGGTAATGTAAAATATTATAAAATAACTGCAAATGTTTCATAGTCACGCAGGTGTTGCGTTTTCATTACCATATAAGGATTTGTTTAGCACTTGCAGCTGCATCTGTCGTGACAATTCGAGATGATTCGTGCCCATACGAGGATTGTTTAAACGTTTTACTACCACTGTGAGATATCGCGACGCATACAAGTTGTGCACCTGCAAATGATTCATCGTTTTGCAGGTGTTGTAAGTTCATTACCATATAAGGATTTGTTTAACACTTGCAGCTGCATCTGTCGTGACAATTCGAGATGATTCGTGCTCATACGAAGATTGTTTAAACGTTTTAGTATCAGTGTGAGATATCGCGACGCATACAAGTCGTGCACCTGCAAATGATTCATCATTACGCAGGTGTTGCGTTTTCATTACCATATAAGGATTTGTTTAGCACTTGCAGCTGCAGCTGTCGTGACAATTCGAGATGATTCGTGCTCATACGAGAATTGTTTAAACGTTTTAATATCGCTGTGATGCAGAAAATCGTGATAAAAACTGTGTTTTCTATTTTATTCAAATCTTACGTTAATTTTGGGACACCCTTTATATAAGGTAATTAATTTAAACAATTGCATAATTGATATTTATTAGATGATAAAACAATAATTATTATACAAAATTTCGTTTAAAATTCATTAAGTATATATAACAATTAATAACTTATAATTCATATTAATTTATATAAATATATAATTGATTAGATTGAGGGAAAAATAAGACATTGTAAGTTTTATAAAAATGTAAAAAAAATATCTAATTCCATAATTTTCATAAAATCTAATTTGATTATATATCTAAATTAGTTTAAAAAAAATATGGTAATGTAAAATATTATAAAACCACTAATCGCGTGGCGTCTGATTGACTCTGCTAAGAATATTTTGTAACTAAAGTATTAGCATTGTGTATTCTGGCTTATAGTATCAATGGAGGCAATTTACTATATGCATTTGTGGTTCAAAATTTGGCAAGTTGTAAACCTATGTTATCCTTCTGGATTTAGATATATCTAAAACGGTATAAACGCATTACGTATAAAAGACCATTTAAATTATATTCACTAATTGATAATCTATTGTTATTAGAATTAATAAATCGATGAATTTATAAAATAATATTGATTATAATAATTAAAATGTATGTAAACGAAAAACAGAATTTCTGGCTTAAATAAAATTAATTTGTATATTTTTCCTATAATATAGATTTTTTTCCTACATTTTATAGTTCTTTTTTACATTGTACTTGTGTACATTTTATATATTTCAAAGAACAATATAGTGTTGTATTTTTTTTATATTGATTATAACAATTTTACAAATATTATTTTGTTGTGAACTTTTTTCTATTGGAATTGTAACAATAGATTATATAAAATTTATGAAATCTAGCTGTATTTGAAACGACAATACTGTGTTCGATGTTTTCACGTGCTTTTTGAGGGACACCGAAAAATAATCATGACCATATTGGCATTGATTACCCAATATGGGAAACGTAGATTTGACTGGGTTCATTGTAATGACAATAATTGCATCCTGCGGACAAATCATTTGATTACGTCCACATACGCAGCAGGCGTGAATGCATTAACGCATACGCTCGGATACCGACAGAATTATCATCCTGCGATATTAAAAAATATGATAAATAAAAATTGTAATAGTTTTCTTTGATAATCGCACTACATTATGTAAACCAAAACGTCGGTGCGAAGTTCCGTAATGCGACGTCGGTAACTGAATTATGTAATAAGCACGAGCAACTTTGCACCCGCAATACCAGCCCATTATATATTGACGGAGAGACCTCTAAACTGACGTCGAGTTCACACTCGATTCTCATTATCGACGCATTACCTAACAGTGATGTAGGGGAGGAGGGAGTTGCTTATGTGCAACAACAACAAAACGCAACGGATTTGCATCCATGAAATTGCAGACTGCCGCAACAACGTACACTGAAATGGCTTTATGTCTGAACAACAGATTTTGTTTATTACGTACGTGCGGACGGTGCTCTTTCAATCAATTAACATGTTCATCAGCCCTTTGAAGCTTTTGTTTTTTTGTTGTTACACTATTTAAATCCCCTTAATGGAGTTTCATAAAAATTCTGGTAATCCCCTGAAACGAGATAGGTAGCTCACATGTAATTCATATAGGCCAGCTTATATTATTCCCAGACTCCAGCCTCTCTTCATCTACCGATATAAAAAAACTCGCCCTTTTTTTAAAGAGAGACTTATCATTCTATTGTATCCAGTTTTATTCATACTAAAAAGATATGATGGACATAATTAATTAAAATTTGTAAATATTTCATTTCATTTAAATTCACATAATTAAAACAGTTTCAAAAATCCAAATTGAATATTTCGTAAAATGAATTTAGTTTATATTGATTTTGTTCATTACAAACAGTAATAATATTCAAACAATTAATAATAATTACATTGAAATAACAAACAAACAAACAGAAAAAAAAACTGAATTTCATTAAAAATGTACATACAAATTATAATTTTACGTAATTATAATTGCTTGAATGTAAAATATGCAACAACAGATTCGATATTTGTAATTTTCATTGCGTTATTTGAAACTGTTTCAAACATATCCATATTAAAAGTTTCTTCAAAGTTATTATTTTAAAGTATATTTTAAAGAACAAAACACATAATTATGCGAAACAATTTTTAGAGAATTCATTTAATAATGTTATTATAAGTTATATTAAGTTTTGTTAGGGTAGGTTGCGTAAAGTTAGCTTAGGTCATGATTAAGGAGTAGGAAAACGGGGACAATTCTCCCCTATAGAAGCTTTGTTATCCTAAACAAAGAAGTTTAGGTTAGGTTTTTGACTAAGATCTTCAAAAACCTAACCTTTTTTGTACAGTGTTTCTAATGAGTTAAAGCAACTTTTGCAATTAAAAAATAATTTGTTCTATTTTCTTTTTGTAGATTTTTCTTCGTAAATATCTGGGTTAAGTACTTTTATTTATCCAAGATGAGATTTCGAAAATGTCAAAGGTTATTTGATGTGAGTGTGTGGTATTAAAAACAGTGATTATTAAAAAAATCATTTCGTAAAGATCAATAAGTTTCGCGTTTGTTGGGAGAGGGAAATGCAGTTAATCGTGGATGAATCAATGATAGAGATCCGAGCAGTAGATCTATCCTAGGTGGTTGCACATGTTGGACAGGAAAAAGCACATATGTCTTTGATGATGGACTGCTGGACCAATGGGAGCGCGAGTCTCGTTTTAGATTGTTGTTGGCTGGTTTTGCAAATATAAAAATAATCCAACCAAGGGGGCTGGAACAGGGACGCCTGGCAACCAATCGGATCAAACCGCGGACGGCGGGAAATTCAAACAGTTGTTTGCTTGCTGCTAGTTTTCTTTCGGGATTTCAGGGATCCGGGGGTGGGAAAAAGAGGGGACGTGTAAGGAGTTTCCAAATGACATGCCCGCAACAGGAGGATGTCCTGCATTCGCATTGACAATTCCTTGCAGGATGTTTTTGTCCGTCAGTTATCGCGCAACCACCACCAGCAGCGATCCAGCAAGTACCACCAACGCTTCAGATCTGGACCTCACAAGCGACCCGGCGCTTCCACCGATCACACCGAACGCCGGAGTCCTCCGCATCGCTTCGCCGATCATCCGACAAGGTAGGACAATTTCCATATCCAATGCACGCATTATTCTATTAAGATAAAAAAAAATAATTTGCCGTAATCCATTTCACGCTCCATCCGATAAATCCGATTATTTATGCGATTTATGTAATATTTAACGCCTATATATCACGCTATGTTTGCCTAACAAACAAATTGCTTTATACAGACGAATGGCAAAGCAAAGCTCAAAAAAATATTAACTCATTCTTTCCACAAATTACTTTTAAACACTTTTATCTTCAAAATTTATTATATTATTATAAAATCATTTTTAATAAAAATTTATAATTACAAAAATTAACAATTATTCGAAAATTTTACTTTCTTCACAAAATATTTTTTAAACTTTATAAATTGAAATAATTTTAAATTCTAATAATATAATATAAAAATATAATAATTAAATAAGAAAAAATTTTCATAAAAATGTTGAAGTTTAAATCCAATTAATATATTAATTGTAATTTCGTGGAATGAAAGACTTAATTACAACTTAATTTAATAACAAGAATAAATAGAGCTTCGTCATTCATTTACAAAAGTTGCCTTTAATCAAAATCTATTCCGTATTATATTGTATTTCATTTACAATTATGCATGATTGAACTGTTCGAAAAGTTTAAAGTTAAATCGAGCACTCAATTCAGACTGCATCCATTCATTGGATTAATTACTAACTTTTTCCGCGCAATTTTCAAACCCTACAACTGCTCGCATTGAAATAATATATATAGTTGGTCTTAATTAAACTTAGTTATCGGCAACCCTTTGATCCGATTATATCAGATCCTCATGGAAATGAATTTAATGACTTATCCGGGCGAATGCAATAAACGGTGTTTCCCCAGCGGAAATTAACCGGCGGATAAGTTTATCTGTGTAGCATCGAGAAACTCGTTACTGTAATTATTTTTTTTTGAAAGCATTCAAAGCAAAATTTTCCAAGATCGAAACACAAAGGAAGTGAAAAAAAAAACAAAAAAAATATGTATCTATAAAATAGAAATACTTTCTCGGATTTATCGTCTCCGTCGAAGAGGATAAGTGTACCATCGATCTCAAGAACGCCCTCTTTTTATATATAAATTACATTCTCCTCGGGCGGTGGAAATTTTCGCACAATTTGTATGTTAATACCATTTCAATGGATTTCCAATATTGAAAAATAAAGCATCTGTAACTCGTAAGGAATCCTAGTATTTGAAAAGGATAATAATTGCACACGGTTTCAGTAGAAGAAGAAATAACTGGAAATATATAAAAAAAGACATAAATTTGTCTTTGCTTCTTTTGGTCCTAACCGAATGAAGAATAGTCCTATTACGTGCCAAAGGAACGTAGTTTTTTCTTTCATTAATAGCCTAAGGATAAAAAAGAAAATAGTGGAAAAAAGTTACAAAAAACAAACATATTATATAATAATGATACATTCTATGGAAATTAATTAATTTTTAAAACGTAGCAATAATAATAAAGTAGGGTTTAATTTATAATGCGCTCCTCTTCATATTTTGCCCTTAATTTTTTTTATATATTTTTGTTTCGGTTGCGGTTACCGTTATTATCCTTTAATTGAAAAACTTCAAGCCCTTTATATTTTCCACATAATGTACGCTGTTGATCCGCGCGCGCGACCCTTTTCTATTTTCCTTCATTATCCTCCTCCTACATCCATCCAGTAAACTGTTCAACATTATTGCCCATTTCAAAAACAGGAAATTCAATGCAATCTCCGCGCCGGAACGAAATTTGCAAAATCTCAATAACTTAGCACAATTGCATTGAAATCATTCAAAAGAATTTTATTGTTTTTAATGAAGAAATTTTAGTTTCATAACTTTTTTGTATTCATATTATTTTTAGTTTTGCAAACAAATGTTTGTTTATATAAAATATAAGAATTTCCTGTAAAAAAATTGTGCTAAACTCATTTATTTCATTTAGATTACAAAGGATAAATTACATTTTTTCAATTATTTCCAATAAATTCATAAAAAGATTTGTGACAATTGAAATTATAGAAATCAATAGTTTTTTTTTTGTCTTCAACGTTAGGAATATATGAAAAATGTTATTCAAACGTATTGGAATCATGTTTTTGCTCAACAGGAATCTAATAAGAATCAGATTTCAGATTTAATTTACTTTTCAATCAAGACCTGTCGGAAAATGCGTACTTTTTCAATGAATGCAAGGATAAGCCAATTCAATATTTATTCTAGAAAAAATATGCATATTGATTACATCTCCCAGCGTTACTGATAGCAATCATATAAACCTATAGATATTTTTTCAAATATCGTGTTTACAAATTGGATGCGCGATCGAAACGAGATGCTGTCGGAGCCCCGACTTGCAATTATGCAATGATGATATGAATTGCATTGCACACTCGCATTCACTTCATTCATATACAATTTTTTTGTCCGGTTTCGCAACAATTGTTGCTACATATTGCATTTCCAAATACGGTTTGCAGCGTAGACGAATAGAAATGCTCGTCACATATTTCCAGCCTGTCGAACAAATAATAATAATAACTGAGTATAACGGTTGACATCGAGTCTTTCCTGTAATTAGGGGTGGGCACGAATAATGCGTTCGCTTTGTTTCTTGACGTTTGAGGCTTACGTCGGATGCACTAAATCTCAATCAATGCCCGCCGTTCGGATAATCGGTTTATCGCCAATTTCATGACATTCCAACCGAGACAGAAATATTTAAGCAGATTTGCATCACAATCATCCCTTCAATAACAATCAATTAAATCAAACTTGTCTGTCTATTGTTTTTCTCCCTTTGTTTATTCATTCATTTTTTTTTATTCTCATAAATGGACACGGCTCCATTTCGTTTCATGTCATAAATCACACGGACGACACTAATTGCGGCACTTTTAATTGACCGTCACTCGGACGAGTTATGAGAGCTGTTGCAGACGCAATTATGCAAAAGTTTCGCGTCATTCGAGAATCCTTCTGCAATGGATTCTGCACAGTCTGTTTACTACAATGTCCCAGGTCCAACATGAAACATATTATTACACTTTAACATCGCATTCAAATGTAGAGAACTTTGTTTCTTCAAGTTTCAAATTTACAATCAGTTAACAATGATTTCTGAATCCAATAGCTTTAATTCATATTTAATTTATAACATTGATTAAACGCTTTTTAATTATCTATAGCCCTTTTTAAATTTAATTACTTGGGAAATATTTAGCATTAATTTGTTTTTTTTTGGTGGAAGTTTTTACCATATATTCTTCTGTTATTTGTTGGTTGGCTGCCGTCTTGTTAACTTCAACTATTCCCTTTGTGTATCTGCTGATATTCTTAACACTGTCATTGTCCATCGACTTGGCGGAAAGTCAATATGCTGAACTTGTCAATATTTGCGCAACGCTTGCATGCATGTGATTATGCAATAAAATCAAAAAAAAAGTTCATTAGTTTTCGAGTTATTAACACCAGATTTAGGTAAACTCAATTCACTTTTGTTTTCAATTTCTACAACTCATAGCAGGTGACTCGGCTGCAATACGAAGATGCCTGTAGGCTCGTTGGAAAGGTGAGATATTCAACTTTCGATGATGTAATTGTCTTAAGGGGTTGTTGAGAAATTCATAAAAATACCGAAAACAAATTAAAAAAAAATAATAATAATGAAAGCTCGTTATCCTTGCAGAATGAAAGAAAACTGAAATTTGCGGAATATGCTTTAATTAATACCAGAACCGGAATAAAACTTCATAAAACTGATGATCATTAAAATTGTACCTTTGGAATATTTCAGCAAGAAAATAATAAATAAAATATTATTAACAATTTTATTCATAATTGTGTTAAATAAAACTTAATATATTTTGCAAATATGTAAATTTGCAATTATATCATTATTATTTTATGTTTGATGTAATTATTAATATTATTGTTTTTTATAATTCTGTTTTAATTAAAACTTTAATACCAGTTTTATAAAATAACCGTTATTTGTTTGAAATGCTATTATTATTATTATTTGCGCAGATATGCAAATTTGTAATGCAATATAGAATTAATACAAAGCAATCACCAAAAACAAAACCCAAATCCAACCAACTAACAAACAAAAAAAAAGACAGTAAATAAATTTCTATATCAATATATAGGAGATTTTCAGCAATATTAAATAATAATAACTATTTCCATGGCATAATGAATCAGTGAGTAAATCCTCTACAAATTGGGAAATCGGATATAATACGCGGCTTTATTTATTTCACGTTTGTGTAAATGAGAACATTTCAATAGAATTTTACATCAAGGAACGCTTTGTGTTCAATTATTTATAGATTTCTAATTAGATTGATCTGTTTCGACTCAGTTTTCTCAAGGGGAATAATATAAATAAATATATAAAATAAAATGAAATAAAAGAAACGTTGGTTTTCGTTGATTGAATTTGTGGTTGCGGAAAACAAACAAAAAAAATATAATATAAAGTGGATGAGAATCAATATTTTCAACGGGCTGACGTTTACATTAATTCCAAAAACAAAAACCAATAATAACAGAGAGAGAGAAAAAAAGACAAGTGCGAAATAGATTTTTACAACGCGTTTTTTTTTAACGTTGAATTGTTTATGACCGCTTGTTTGATGGAATATAATTCATTAAATTTTCAGGAATTTTCTTTATATTGGAAGCGAAATGGAATGGGGTTTTTTGGTATTCTGGATGCGACGCTACGCTTTTGTCAAGTCGCTGTTTGTTTCTGTACTTTATTACTTCTTTTTTTTCTCTCTCTCTACTTCTGTTTCTGTTTTGTTTGTTGTACATTTTCGCTCGTCGGGTCTTCCGTCTGTTCATTTCTCAATTACAAGTGTTGCGAGCCGTCGCACGAAAGTCATTTCCCAGAGTACGTGGAATAAATTGAACTTTTATAACGAAATACAAAATAAATCACAGTTGCATTCGATATAATCACGTAAAACTTGTTTGCTGAAATTA